GATTAGATCTTTATATGGCTTGAAACAAGCTCTTAAACAATGGCATGAAAAATTAGATCATGTTTTGATAAGTGGTGGGTTTTTAACTGTTGAAGTGGAAAGGTGTGTTTATACAAAATCTATAAATAATGATTGTGTAATTATCTATTTTGATGTGGATGATATGCTTATTTTTGGTACAAGCATGGGTATTGTTTTTGAAACTAAATGCTTTTTTTCATCAAATTTTGATATGAAAGGTATAGGTGAAGTAAAAGTTATTTTGGGTGTTAAAATCATAAGGAAGGATGATGGTATTTTTCTTTCTCAAGAACATTATGTTGAAAAAATACTTAAAAAATTTGGTCATTTTAATGAGTCTCCTTTGAGTACCCCTTATGATTCAAGTATGCCTTTAGTTAAAAACAAAGGTGATCCAATGGTTCAATCTAAATATGCACAGATCATAGAGATTCTGTTGCATTTGATAAATTTTACTAGGCCAGATATAGCATATGTTGTATGTAGATTGAGTAGATATACACATGGTATTGAAACCCGGACCGGACCGGCCGGGTCAACCCGGAAACCGGTGACCCGGTCCCTTGTCCGGTCTGGGTTTACTCCTAAACCGGTGAGAGAATGAACCAGTGTAACCTGATCAACCGAGTTCAACTCGGTATAACCCGTTAACCCGGTGGGTTGACTGGGTCAACCGGGTTATTTTTTTTGGAGATTTTTTTTTTCATTTTTGATTTTTCAGAGTGCTGAGTTCAGAAATAAGATAACAAAAAAAAGTGAAACTAAAGTCAAAAAATGAGAAGTTAGAGGTAGAGCATGCTAATTCCAATCCAGATTTTCAAATAGCATTTAGTTCAGCATTTCATCTGTGTCTCTCCTCTCTCGCCCTAACCTAATCAGCGTCTCTTCTCTGGCTTAGTCTCCGTCTCTTCTCCAGGCTCCAGCTCTATCTCCGTCTCTTCTCCAACTCTATCTCTGTCTCTACTATCTCCATCTCTTCTCTAGCTTAGTCTCTGACTCTCCATCTCTTTTCCAACTCAATCTCCGTCTCTTCTCCAGCTCTATCTCCATTATTTTAATCATGACCGGTTTGCCACCAATTCAACCTCCGGTTCAACCCTAATTGAACCACTAACCTGTGACCCAGTGCTATGACCGGTTCAATAACCAGTCCGGTTTTACGTACCTTGGATATACACACTACCCAGGTAAACATTAGATGGCTCTGATAAGAGTAATAAATTATTTGAGAGGTACCATAAATATTGGTATATTTTATAGTGGATTTCCTACTGTATTAGAAGGGTACAGTGATGCTAACTGGGTCTCAAACTCGAAAGAGACAAAATTTACTAGTGGGTATATATTCACTCTTGGTGGTGGTGCAGTAACTTGAAGGTTAGCCAAACAAGATATTGTAACAAAATCCTCTAGGGATTCTAAATTTATTACTATGGAGCTGGTTGGTACTGAAACTGAGTGATTGAAAAACTTTTTGGCAAATATTCCTTTAGGTGAAAAACCAACACTATCAGTGTCTTTACATTGTGATAGCCAATCAGCAATTGCTACGGCTAAAATAAGACCTTCAATGGCAAGAGTAAGCATATTTGATTGAGACATAATATAATAAGACAGATGCTTAAAAATGGGGTCATCTCAATCGATTATGTAAGATTAGAAGTGAATCTAGCGGATCTGTTAACTAAACCCTTAAGGAAGAAACAAATTATAGAAACATCGAGGGGAATGGGACTTAAGCTAGTTTAAAACCAACAGTGATGGTAACCCAACCTTTATAATTGGTGATCCCATGAAGAAAGTTTATATGGGTAAGAACAAGTCATCTATTAGTTCTGCTAGCACTAAAATTAATTTTGTCCCTTTTCCTATGGTGTATGAGAAAGTGCTAGAATGCATTGTTGGTGAGGCAGAGCAAAGCTCTTAATGATTTCATGTTCCTTGTGGAAGGTGTATCAATTGTAGATACATTTGATGAATTCACCTAGATAAATGTGGAGTGGGGCCGCTCCTACAAGATTGTGGCAAAATTTCTAGAGCATTTGTTGAAATACCAGGCACGTGCATAGCCGTCAAAGTGCTAAACCGCCATTACTAGTAAAAATTATGGGGGTATAATCTGACTGATAAAGCCTCTAGTATACACCCAAGAGTTGTTGGTTCATAGAAGCATGCTTCACTAACTTCTTTGTGTACTAAGCAGTATTGGTCTAGATCTGGTTCATAGTCTAAAAGACACCAGATTCGATATGGTTATACTTATAATTGTAACTAAAATGATAAGGTTCTTTTGACACTTGCGGAGAATTGTTGTAATTATTATGTGAGTATGTCAAAAGATAAATCCCCATTGACCATATGAGAGGAGAGGTCTCAGCAATTTTTGTGAAAATATTTTGACAAAAATCAAAAATATTTATTTGAAAGAGTTCTCAGAAAAGCCTTTATTTATCTTGTTTAAATTTAAATTCAAATAATAAACTTGGTTTCTTAATTACCTTGGCAAAAAACGTTAGTCCCTCCTTAACTTCTAATTATCACATTTGAATATGTTAATCATTTCATTTGCAATGTCTAGTCTTAATGTTTTATTATATTCAAACCGTGGCTTTATTTGACATTAATTGCACCTTATATTTCTTAATGGTTAAAACTGATTTTCTTTAGTTGAAAAGGTAGCTTTATCCCTTTTTAATATTTTAATGGCCAAATGAAGTCTTCTCCTCCAACGTCCAGAAACGCCATTCATCAATAATATTTTATTGTGTCAAAAACGGTGGAATAAAGCAATGGGATGATGATAATTTATTTATTTAATAATGGTGCCGATGGAAGATATTTTATTGTGAAGTGATGGTGATTTATTTTAGCAACAGTGCTTCAAATGTTTTTGTTCAATGCGGTTATATATATAGCAAAGTGTGTGCATGACATTGATGCTAAATATTTTTAAGTTCTTGGGCACTTTTCTTCCTCTCACGTGTCTTGCATCTTGAGTTTAATTTTCCTTATGAATTGTTTCTATTATTCTGTCACCTTGTTTAATTTTATAGCAAGGTTTTGCTTAATTTTGAGAAGCTTTGACAAGTGTGTGGGAGTTGCTATTAAGGACAATGTTTTTGGACGCAACTCGAAACAAATTTTACATTACTATTGCCAACATAATCGCAATCATCGTACCTTTATTTAGCCTGAGAATTGAAACTATGTGTAGCATAGCAATAATAATGTTGCGACGACTATAATTGCAAATCTTGTCCTTTAATATATATTAATATGTAATCAGTTATGTATATACATGCAGTTTGCTGTATCAGTAACAAGAACGAGATACTGTTTTTCTTCATGTGTCCTCCAAAGTCCAAGCCCAAGCTTACATTTAAGAACGGGTAATTTTACTAAGAATTTCACTATATATTATTTCAGGTTTTGATGAGATGAAGGATTTAATTTATCAGTTAGATCTAGAGCAGCTAGATTAGAATTTTTGTTTGAACTGTATATATTATTAATAAAGTGAGATTTTTTTTTTTAAATAAGGGAAGCTTTTGATTTGTTGCGCTGTGTTACCGGTTTAGTTAATGATGAACTGAAGTAACCTTGCTAATTAATTATCGGTGCAACTTCAAACATGAAGCAGGCAATGCCAATGGTAATGCTAATGCAAAATCAAATGTTGAAAAGTGTCGGTACGTGTACGTGATTCTCACAAGACAACTGAGTAATTAATTAATTGGTGCAGTTAATAGCATATACTGAGTTAGGAATGTTCTGAACGCACAAACACTCTATACATACATGGTGTAAAGAGAGCATTAAATCCTCTGTAGTTAAGGATGTACATTTTGAAAATGGAACAACATTTTTGTTGAACTGGACAGAATCCTTACAAGGAAAAATGTGCAAGACACAGAAATCATCCCTATATTCTTGCATCATGCTTTCAGAATTCAAACATACTTCCACATGATGCTGACAATGGACACGGACTCGCTTCTTTTTCTTGTTTCCGCCAATAATTGATCAAATGCATTCACATGCTCTTTATATATGTGCATATATATGCATAGATGCTGGCAGGACTACTGATAGATGCGTGACAGCAAAATTGATACGCACGCACACACATGTACAGAGTACAGTCAAAGGAACTGCTCCTTTATTTTTTGCTTCTTAAAGTTGGTTCCTTTTTAAACTAGCCGTGATTTTCCAAGTGGCTGATATGAAGAGATTTATCACTTTGACTTCTTTTCAAACTATCATTGTTTGATCATTAACGTGTGTACGCGAGTTTCTCTTCTTTGTTTGGATCAGCGAATTTGAGGAAATTCTATTAGCTTGGTTTGTAATTCAGACTTAAAAAGTGGACTACATGCATGTATTCCCCCAATAGTATTTCAAAATAACGTGCATTGAATATTGCATTCACCATAATGCACTATTTATTCATTAAATGTTCGAATTTAATGTTATGTCTCCCAGGACGCGAACGCGGATTACATTATAGCCAACCAAACACGACAGCACAGAACCAATGCCAGCTGCTATGGCATCAATTATTTATCTGCTGAGCAATAATAAATAAATAGCTAGTCACAAAGTACTAAATAAAAGAGTGAGGCATACGACTCGAGTCATTTATGCACTTATAGGCTGGTTGCATTGCACAGTTAGAATTTAGAATTTGGAATTATGATTAAATATCATTTCATCATTAGAAATAGAAAGGGACATTACAGGATGAAAACGAAGCCTACTGAGTTTTGCATGCAGGATCACAAAACGTACGCTTGTAACAGCACGTCAAGGCCCATAAACATATATATGGAAACACGCCAATTAATTGAAAACTTGGAACTTACTCGTTTTAATTAATTGCATTTGCTAATCAAATGTGACGAAAGAATATGGATGACCCTAAAATACTTGGCACGTCAGAATCACCACTAGTTAATCTATTACACTGTTACGTAATCACTTCAGTGGCCGCCGCCAGCCCCGACTCCGACCCCAACGCCGCCACCTCCCCCGAACCCTCCTCCAAATCCTCCCCCTCCTCCAAACCCACCTCCAGCTCCTCCACCTGCGCCACCGCCAAACCCGGCGCCTCCTCCTACACCTCCTCCTCCGCCAACGCCCCCACCAAACCCTCCCCCTGCGCCTCCTCCACCACCAAGTCCTCCGAGACCGCCCCCTGCACCACCTCCGCCCCCTAGCCCGCCACCTGCACCTCCACCTACTCCTGCTCCAATGCCATGTCCTATCCCTCCGCCTGCACCGCCGCCTAAACCACCACCGTGACCTAAACCTCCGCCTGCGCCTCCACCTAAGCCACCGCCGTGACCTAACCCTCCACCTGCACCTCCACCTAAGCCGCCACCATGTCCTAGTCCTCCACCTGCACCCCCTCCTAAGCCGCCACCATGACCAAGGCCTCCACCGGCACCGCCACCTAAGCCACCACCGTGACCTAGCCCTCCACCAGCTCCGCCACCCAAGCCTCCGCCACCACCTGCCCCTCCACCCAAACCACCACCTGCACCCCCACCTAGACCTCCGCCAGCACCACCACCTAGACCACCACCATGAGCTATCCCTCCGCCTGCACCCCCTCCAAAACCTCCACCACCACCTGCCCCACCGCCCAGGCCACCACCCGCACCACCCCCGAAGCCACCCCCTCCACCTAAGCCTCCTCCGCCGCCTAGTCCTCCTCCTGCTCCACCACCTAAGCCACCTCCAGCACCTCCACCAAGGCCGCCGCCGCCACCGATACCACCTCCCCCACCAAAACCAGCGCCACCTCCGAACCCTCCATGTCGAAGGCCTTTCTTGAAAATGCCACGCCCTAACAAATGCGGTGGATGAATGAGATGCTTGTCCTCCTTATCAACGCCAACATCAGCCACCCCCACCAAAGCAGTCACGAAAAGAAGAAGAAGAACACTGACCCAAGTAACTAAATTGTTATTTGAAACAACCCTCATCGTAATGCCACAATCTTACTTAAAGAAGAAGGAGAAGAAAGTGAAAGTGCATTGAAGCAGGAGGAGGAGGTGGCATTATATAGAGTGGCATAGCAAGCAGAGTGCAGTGCAGAGCGAGGAGCAAGACCTTCAATTACTCATCTGTCACGCTTGAAAGGAGTAAATGAGGCTCACCTGTCTGTGCCCGAGCTTCTTTATTTGGCCAGCTGTCCTCCTCTCTGGTTTAAGCTTTGAAGACTCCGTTCCCCAAGTTATAGACCCCGTAGCGTTTTGACTAGCTTCCTTGGGTTATGGTTTATGGCTTCTTCTTCTTGCCCATTTACTATACTTGCTTAGTGTGTCTTCTTCAATATCCATACCTGTTTTTCTTTTCAAATCCAACTGGTCAACTTGGCTGATACCATCAAAATTGTTGAGTTATTTGGGGCTTTGCTTCCACTTGGACTCCATTAATGCTATCTCTTCGTACCCTTTAATGCACCCACCAAACCAAGCTTCTTTACAGTCTGCGCTAGCTCTGCGTACTTCCCCTCTCCCGCGTTTTATTTATTGAACCTCTTGTTTCTTTTACATATTATAATCAATATCCACTCCACATGTGCACAACATTGATTAATATTATTACTTTTAGGATATGTTAACAATTGTAAGTGATTGACATTGATAATATAGCACTCCCTCTTACTTATAAGGATAAAAGTGAGAATTTTTTTAACTCTATTTATAAGTATATCATCAAATTTTTATTATAAATTTTCACTTTAACCCTTCATTAAATATTAGTAAAATAAAGTATGCTATTAAAGTATATATATTTTAATGGGGATTAAGTTGAAAACTTATAAATTTTTGGATAAAGTTAAATAAATTTTAAGATTTTTTCTTGCTTCAAATTAAACTAGTGATCAGAGGAGTATACTCCATTGTCATTGGAGTCATGTATATCGTATAATAACTAAGAGTATAATCAGCAATATACTATTTATATCTATATATTTATAAAACAAATATCAAAATTTTTTTGGGATTTATGCCATGCTTAGCATATCGCACCTAGTTTTGTTTTAATAAGTTTCATCACCAAAATTCAAGGGTTCTGCCAGCTGTACAAACGAGTAATTGTTGCTTTATGTGTGTGTGTGTTACTCCAAATTAATTCCAACTTACTTATATCTAGTCTAATTTCATTCTAAGTTCCCATGTAACCTATCTCAGGCTTTTTTAATATAGGCTTCCAGCATGCAGTCGTTTTTAAATAGAATGCCAACTGCGATCGCGAGCTCGTGTAGCATAATAAGTTTAAAAAGTAGTGCAATTAGAGGTTGAGAAGCGTAAGAACCATTACAGTGTACGGTATCATTTAGTCGTTGAGACTTGGAAGGGAAAGATAAGGTCGTGTACGCAAAAGGAGTAGATCGATAACTTGAAACACTAAATATTGCATCACTTTTTTCATAATTTAATGGAGGCAACGGAATATACTTAAAGGTCAGGATTGGTTATTAAAAAGAAATATAATAAAATGGATTGAAATAATCAAAATAAAGATGAACTAAATAACCTTTTTTTTTTATAATAAACATGATAAAACTTATTAATACATATTATAAATGTGAAAATCATTATGTTCTCTAAAAATTTCATGAATAATGATTTCTAATCTCATGATCTAAATTATCCCTCTTCTTTGTGAATGTGCTCACTTATTTCCTTTAATCATGTTATTTTTATATTTATTTTTTAATATATTTCATTCTATTAAATTTTAGTCAGCAAACGCGACCTTATTTCTCAAGAGAAAGAGTGTCACGTTTAAAAACTGGATGGAATTTACGTTTTTGCTGAACAAAAGAGTGTGTGTGTGTGTAGCGCTATTGAAAGCGAGGGAAAAAATTCATCTACCCCTTTTGTTTTTCATAATGGACCTTCGTCCCATTGTTTTGACATTAGTAATTTTATGGCGTGGCGTGAGATATGGAGAGTAAAGGAATCAGTATAAGGAGATACATTAACAACACGTTCGCCCAAAGACAAAGTATTTTCTACAAAGAACAATGAGATACACTACTAGAAAAAAATTATTTAGCAAAAGATGTACCTATACTTATTATATGAAAAATTAAATATATGTTATTTAACTACACACATATATCAAATAATATATTACTAAAAATACACACACATATAATATTTTATTTTTAATTATTAAAATGATAAAATAATTTGCACCTATATTTATATGACTATTTATATTATATTATATTTTTAATAAATTATTTTTTTCAAAATGAACTAAAAATGAAATAAATATTAAATATTAAATAATTTTATTATATATATATATTAGTTAATTTTTATTTTTAAAATAACAATAATAAAGCATATAAGTACAAATCATCATCTAAAAGTCAATTTTTTTAGTAATTAACAAGGGATAAAATCTCTATCTAAATCCCTCACAAATTATTTATTTTCAGAGAGGTATACAAATGTATTAATAATTATTTTATTATTGTGAGAAGTACAAAATCTCTCACTAATTTTTCGTTATTTTTTTCTTTTTAACTAAAGAGGAATTGACAGCTTATCATTAATTTTAAGTCAAGTTATGAGATTAATATTGCTCACTAATTTGACATTTTAGAAAGGAACAAGTGATCTTTCATTAATCCATATTTTTCTAGCTATGATATGTACTTAGAAAGAAAATGTAATAGGTGCATTTCACATCTTTTTTTTAAAAAAAAAAACTTTTCTACCTATCAAATATTATATAAGTTCATTTGGAGTGCTTCTCTGAACTAGCCACAAGAGATGGGAGGGGAGATTTTAATGAACTCTTCTTTAGTTTAGGAAGGGAGAGGAGTTTAATAAATGAACGATTTTATCCCTGTCAAATTTAAATTATTTTTATTAGAGTTTATTAAATTCTCTATTTAGGAATCTCAATACCCTGCACTTAAACCAGTGACATTTTTTTAAGAACTAATATATCAATATTACCACTTATCGATGTGCGTCTAGTGGAAAATATAAAATTTTATACATTACTATAGAGAAGAAGGAGAAAAGACATGATTTTTGAAGTGTTAAGGATGGTTTGGGATTTAGTTAACATAAATTTTCTCCATCACTTTCCCTCCCATTTTAAACCAAAATAATGGCTTCCTCTCCTTTACCTCCGCTTGATACCGACCAAATAGGATGGGGAGCTCCCTTCCCCTTCAAAACCCCCCCAAAATCTCTTCCATGATTTATATGTATTTATGTATGTGGCAATTTTAATTTTTGGCTAATTTTGACCATTTTCTATTAAAAATAATAATATAAATAAAGTATTTCACTATATTAATATAAATACAAGAAAACCATTCCCATCTCGCGCCCTCGCACATAAATCAGTTAAAAGAAAACCCATTTGTCTATATCTCTCCGTCACAACAATCAAATAAGCTAACTTGGTTGTGTCAGACATTTTTATTCATGACACGACCCACCATCTCATGTGTCCTTCTAAACCCCCCCCCCCAAAAAAAAAAAATTTCTCATGGGTCCCATTCGAGGTGGCAGATATCGTGATCCGTAATCTTCTAAGGATTTGCAGTATATAGAAACAATCCCGACCATTCACTTTGGTCTAAATTAATCTCTACCATTTATTTAAATCAATGTTTAAATTTTTTTAGCATTACATTTATTAACGTAAAAAATATAAAATTTTTTAATAAATATGTTCATTTTCAATTTTATAATTTAATTATTTTGATAGTTCAAATATAATCTAAATATCATAATTTAATATTAAAAAAATTTATATATTTTACAAATTAAACATTTAAGTGTACTTTAAATAGTTCATATTTAATAGTAAAATTTGATATATTTTTTTATTTTAATAAATATAATATTAAAAATATTTTAAAATTAATTTAAAAAAACAATAGAAATTATTTTAGGCTGAAGTGGAGGGCTAGGAGCAAATGAGCACCAAATGCGGATGCAATCTTCGGGTAGGAGCCATTGACCTTTCAGTTTGTTCTACAGCTTCAAGGTCAAATATCATATTTGACTTAATTACAAGGCTAAACTAGTACTTACTCCAATAAAAAATATAAGACGTTTTGTAAGAAATTAAATGTTAAAAAATATAAAATATTTTTAGTATTTTGAAGTATAATCATTATATTTTTTTTATAAGTATCCATAATAAATAGGTTACTTTACATTTATTTTAAAGTAAAATATTCTATTAAATATAGGTAAATATAAAAAGATAGTATAAATTTGAATACAACTAACTACTTTATTGATGGATAAAATTTAATTAAAAATACCTTATATTTTTTTAATGGGGGATTATATTAAAATAACGGCTTATAGGAAAAGTTTATCCTTAAGTGTTCAGGAATATTTAAGATCTTAAATTCATCATTAGTGCTATGTTTTTTTTTTTTCATAACACCATTAATAAAATTTAACTTTGATGGTTTGACTATTAGTTAACTAAAAAAATTATAGAAAATGATATCAAAATTACAAAAAATGATTAAAAAATTATAGAGAAGGACTTGTAAATTATAAGCAATCACTTAAAAACATTAAAAAAATTCGAGGTACTTTCATGTTATTTTTTAAGATTTTGTATAAACTAGTGTAGTAGACATAACATGTTTATAGTCATTACAATCCAAATAATTAAATGCCTAAAATAATAAAAATTATATATAAAAAATGTTATATGTATTAAAAATTCATGGAGAAAATATAAATAATGTCTAGTGTTTCATATACACACAGATATTCATGTGGCTATCTATCATCGAAGATGTTGAGATTCATGTTCGAGGAATTTTAACATTTTGTAAAATTGGCATCTAGGGAAAGCATTGCGAGTAAATAAAAAGTAAGGTTGAGTAACGGGTAGGACACACTAATATGAGGGTTGCCTGTAGCCCACTCATCTACGAAAAAAGGGGCACAGGCTAGCTCATACCTTTAAC